TAGAACATGTTTTCGTCTATTGGGAAAAATCAAATCTATAGCTTTCGTAGTGTACTTTGAGCTAAATCTGTTCTACAAAATAATTATTATCGCCCATAACTAGATTTACATTAAATCAGTAACAACGAGGATGTATTATTTGCACTGCAATTTTAAAAAATGCTCCAAAAATGTAAGGTAGCTTCTCAGACTTTACCTAAACTTCAAACATATCCTTCACTTAAGAGAAATCTACGCGACATAATTGAAAAATTATCAAGTGAATACAAGAACAACTCGAAGGTGAAATACTGTTTGTTTGGTAAACTACATCAGCTCGTAAATACTTTTTCGCTGGCCTTCAGAAGCAGCGAAACGACTGTCAACAAAAGGTACTTCGTAATTTAAGGGCTCTCTACAAGACTGAAAGGCTGACACTGCAAAGATGCACAGAATGACGATGCCGATTTTATCGGCTTTCTTTTGCAATTTGTCGATAGTCTTGCCTCAACAGAAAGGTTTCTGGTTGGTGTTACTTCCCCTTCAGCATTATCTGACACAACCATACTGGCTATGGCTGAGGACGGAGAAACATCACCTGAAAACAAATGATGATCATATCTTGAAGTCGTGAAAATTTGATGATTAAAGAGCCTTACGGCTACGAAAACAAAAATTACCACCTCCCTTCTTAGCATATTTTCGTAACTCATTCCTTAGTGCGATGATACGAGCAGTCAGCATATTTATTTCGTCATTTTTCTCCTTCTTCCTAAACACATGAAGTATGTTTGCGAACGAACAATTGCAGCAAAGTAGCAAAATACACTAGCAAAACAAATCTCTCTAAAAAACTCAAAAATGCTTTGAAGAAATCTTTTCGCATCCTTCTAACCAAAATATTACTTACTCCTTTGCCCATATTTTTTTCTCTAATAACAACTTCTCCAACTTCAGCTTATCAGTAGCATCAACTTCCTGAACTTCCATCAGATCACTTCTTAATTTCGCATTTTCCTTCTTAAGCTTCTCAATCTCCTCTATGAGAGATGACCGCTAAAAATGCTACACCCCAGTTTACCATTATTAAACACATAATATAGAAGCCTACTTGCATAATTGGAGTTAGAAAGGCGAAAAGAAAGCAAAGAGGGCTTCACAATAAACTGCTCACTTCGCCTTTCCACTTCTCCGAAAACTCATAGAGTTGCAGGCGAAGGTGTTGCTCGATCCCATCGGCCTCGTCACACCTTCTACCCCAATCTTCTAGCTTCTTCTCAAGGAGAGCAATTTTACCTTTCAATCTTTCAAAAACGTACTGATCAGCATCGCATACGGCTGGCAACTCCTGGAAGAACTGTAAACTGTAGTTTCTCAGCAACAGAAATGTTCTTCACCTTGTTCCAATACGTTAATAATATTTGAAAACTGGAACGAGCAATAATGCTAAAAACTTCACTAAAATTGCCCTGAGGGTCAAAATGTCAAGATTTAAAAAGGCTCACAATTCCGGTGTACAGTCTCCCTTGCAAAGTAAAACGCAGTTAATATGATAAACTCAAAAACAACGCTGTAAATAATTACTTCAGAGCTAAAATTTCCTCAAACAAATGTAAATGCTTAGGATACTTCAAGTTCTTGAGAAGTGAAATTGGTACTTCCAGATCTTGCAGAGAAGAAACACAAGTTCTTAATTCCCCTATATCCAATGAGCATTTCTTCCCTCACCCCAGTTAAAAAGTTAGATCCACAGTTCCTTCTAGTACTTTCAACTACTTCTCCAACTTTCTTAACAGTTTGTTACATTACAGTTTACGCCACAAATCTGACGCCCGTTAAGGAAAGAATCTCAGTGAAACGAATTCACGCCACCTGAATTGAACAAACAGAATAACGCTTTTAAAAAAAGAATCTCACAGTCAATTTCCGGATATCAAAGATTTATGAAACTCTGTATTAAGGAATTTGCTGTTTAGCACAAGCAATTAAATCCTTAACCCGGTTCCATTACCAAGAAAACTGTATATCGCGGGGAAGAAGCTATAAAAGAAAAGAAAAAACTGACTTCAGTTTCTTCCATAGGTATTAATGTAATTAGTTCACTGGCTTCGCATGGAGGTCCAGAAGCTGAAATTAAGTGGTTCTCACTGCAATGAAAATTACACAAAACAGCCAACTTTCCTACATTGTCTTGCGCACTAGATTCTGAAAAACACGACCCCTTCGACAATGTATGACCTCTAACCAAGCAGCATGCTAAGCTGATGAGAGCGGAAAATATCCGTATGAAAATACCATAGGACAACCAGGAAATATAAAGCGAAATTACAATACAACAATTACTCTTCTTAATCTCTGGTTAGTACAACACTTCAAACATGACTGACTGTTACCATGATCCACTTTCCAATGATCTTAAAAATAAGAAGGCAAAGAAATCAATCCTTCTGTTTGGAAAGAACAAAGTCAGAAACGCATATTGAGGAAGAAACTTGTTCCCGAAAAGCCAACTGAACTTTATACCTCACTACTCACTAACTTCTACTTGAAAAGAACAAACTCCTTTACGTCCATCAAACACACACAATACCTCTGGACAAACATCTTTGTACCTCCTCCAACCTTACCCAAGGTTACTCATTGCTGCAACTTGAAAGACGCCATACAGTGGCAGCAACTTTTACCTTAAAACAGCGACACTTACCTTCTAGCCTGAAAAAAACCCAAAAAAGTATTATTATGGGCTCTTCCAGGCGAAAAAAATAAGACTTATTTCTTCCAGTGAGTAACTAGTCTTACGAATGAGAAATTTAGTTTCATGAAAAAAGTAGAAAAAAATAAAAATGTTGCCACCAAACACAACTGACAAAGTTCTTTATTTAAATAATAAACTAAAAAACTGCTGCAGACGATTTATCATGTTAAGGTACTTCAAAGCTTTTGGATTTTTACCGCTACGTTATTTCTGAACAATTAACATCCAACGGAAGCGAAACAACGCAAAGATATCAAAGGACGACAGCAAACATATCTGAGATCGTCATAAAACACTTAGCAAAGATTAGCCGTTCAAATTGAGCAGCAATCGAACGTAAAAAATATAACCATAAAATAACAGACGACGTGTTACAGCGATACTTGAAGAAAAAAAAAAAGCTAGAAAGAGATCAAAAGAACACAGCATAATATAGTCGCGTTCATTTCTAAATTGTATTGCCAAGAATACGAGCGGGAAAGTGCCTTTGTTTTCTGAACGGCTCCAGCAGCTTTTGCGCAGCGCCATTGCGGTGTAAAGAAGTACATCTACGTTAAGCCAGCAGACTTCGGAAAGGTATACAAAACTTGTGTATTACACGTGTACATGAGGTGTAACAAAGAGCTTTTGTTTATCAGTGTTTATCCTCTTCGTTTTCGGAATTTCATGCTTTTTGACCTCCATTCTGCCGAGATTTTAGCAGAAATGTGAGAGCGTTTTTGTTTTTTTACACATTACCTTTTAATTTAATTACTTTAATAACTCATTTAGTTGCGAGGAAACAGCTGTCAGTTTTCTCATGTAGGATTCCACGTAGATTCTACGTAGTTAAGAGTTATAGAATGTGTGAAAAAAATATAGGGTCACGACCATTACGAAGAGGATACGCTGTCTTAAAGTAGTTTGAAAAAACCTCATTTGCCAAAAAGTAAGAAAAAATTTAAAAATAGTAGTAGAAAAATAATAAATAATGATAAAGAGAAATAGGGGATGAAAGAAGGACAGCAATATTACCAGTGTTGATTTTTTTCTGCTTGTTTTTGGAAGGAGAATGGTTCTTTTTCAAGCAAAAACTCGAGACAACCTTTAACATTTCTTGTTGGCGGTCGCTGAATTGGACTACCGTATCCGTCCCCCAGACGGTATATGCAAAAAATCAAAGGTAGTCTCGAGTTTTTG